GAAAGCTAGGGAGCTAAAATTACGAGAAAAAACATACGACGTTGAGCAAACCCAGAAAACCAGAACCTTCACGCATCTTCTTTTGTGTTCAAGCTCGTTTCCAGATCAATTTATATTTCGAGACTCAAAGCAACTGGTTTTTGGAGACTAGTTCTTTTTAGTCCCATTTAAATAATGAGAATTAGTTAGCTGGGGTAGGATTAAGATGAGGCTAAAAATAGCCGGCAAGGCTAAAATCTGACACCAATACAAATTCTACTTCATCCAGCAACTCCGCTTCCCCAAGCCACCACTCGTCCACTACAGTTTTTCTTCCCTTCGCCTCGTCCTACCACTTACCCCACGAAAAAGGTCTCGCATAGGCACTTCTATGTCTGCGAGAATTTGTCCTGAGAGGAATGTGTGCCCTATTTCTCCGAAGAAAAACCTGTGCACGTCCTACAGATTCTTCGTTGATAGAGTCAGCAGTGGTGCTCCAGTATTAGGTGTGGTTTGAAAACAGTCATTATTAATATTTACAGTTATACCATGAACTGCCCCAGCCAGACTGGGTGTCCCGGAAGTGGCCTGAGTTCGAGGACATGCGCACCATCGATATCATCAAGGAGTTTAAACGTGTTGGCCGAATTAGCGAATATGACACGCAGGAAAAGGCTCGGCTCAAGGGAGGCTTGTTGCTGGGGGACATGCTCGATCGCTTCCGGAACATTTCGGTCGGGACCAGCACAGCAGTTCGTAAAATGCACCTCTATTCAGCAGTAAGTTGTCTTCGGCAAAGCAAACAGATACAGACCGTACAAGCTCAGAGCGCCTGCTGGGCAGACTCTGTCAAACTCATAACACTGCACTGCAGCAAGCATCTAGTGCTCACCCAGGTTGTATTTGGTAGCCTCTGATCCAGAACCTACTATTCAGACATTTACAGTCATTTTATACTGCAGCATGATGCGACAATCACTGCCCTGCTGTACGCGCTGAATCTCGGCGATGGCTTATTGGTACCGTATGCCGCGTGCCTGTTCATGGAACTTTATCGAGCAGGCAATGATGAGGCAGTGGTGAAGGTATGCTTACCTAGGAATAACATGAAAAAGAGCAGGGATGGAAGAGACGAATATTTGCAGAATTAATAAATGCAAAAAATCAAACACCTCGCATCCAAGACCGATGCTCTCGTTGTTCTGAGCTTCCCTTTGCTACCAGCAATCATAGTAAGTATATCAAATAATGAACCACAAACACAGCAATTTACCGGTAACTAAAAAGCAAAGCTTAGACATATGCTAACTATTTAGCGAGCATGAGCAGAAGCAGCTATCGAAAAGATGCGACTGTGTTCCTTGATAAGTGCAGGCCTGGAATACTATGCGCAGTTGAAGACGGATAGAAAAGCTGAAATTTCGAGTGAAGAAACTGTTGAATTCATGGAAACTCAAAAATTTTTGCAGATTTTCTACAAGAATGAAACGGAAAGTGTTCACGAGCTTTCAGTGCCTGAATGCACCGAGCCGTGCACGCTGGATCAGTTGATTAACCTAACGGAAAAAACAACGGTGCATACACTGAAGGAACTTAATCAGGTAACACATAGATTGATAAGTGCAACTTATCAATGATGACCATTTTGGCTTTTGCCTAGACTGGTACACAGTCTTCGAGAGAACAAAGAAGATCACTTGAACGGATATCAAAGAGACCGCGTGCGAGCGAACACAACAGCAGATATGTGCCAAAATTCGAAACCCTTTCCGAGGTCATTTTCTTTACAAGGAAAAGGAATTTCGGACTAGTCCAAGCGGTATCGCTTGTCGTCAGCAATCACCCGCTAGTAACAGTTACTTCTTCCAAGTAATATAGATGCAAGCTGGAAACCTGTAGCTTAAGATAGAGAAGTTTGGCACTGCTGCGCCTGCAGGAATGACCAGTAGCACCGGTTGCTCACTTTGAACAATATCGAGGAAAAGCTTACTTTCAGGCATGCGAGATACCGCACTCCACAGACAGTGCCACACGTCCGTCATCAGTGCTTCCAATTTCTGCTGCTGCACTGCTATTCCATGTGCTTCTATGTGCCGTTTGAATGGATGAAGAACTTCTGCGCCGGGGTTGGTGAGCCAATCTCCATCCGACTACAAGCAAAATGCATCCTGGCAGTATGTCTTTGCGTTAGATGCTGCTCACTGGCGCCACGACGCCTCATAAGCCTAGCAAAATGTGCTCCCGTTCTGATGCATCTTGTGTTTTTGTTCCATCTGGCTTGATTGTGCAAAATTATTGTGCTTACACCAGTAAAATTTAACGTTCCTAAGTTACTTTTAGTTAAGTTGTCTTAAGTTATCTCGTAATTAATTTGCCAATTTCAGTTGATTTCCAGCATGTTCAGTTAAATTCCGAATCCCGATAACTAGATTCTGCACTCACTCTGTTTCCCTCCGCGGGCGGTCATTTTAACGCCTCCTGTTCTCTTAATGTTATTATTTCTTATTAAATACCCTTTCTGGACACCGAGACCTTTCAAGGAGAAATGAGGATGTGACGTATGTGAAACTCCAAGAGACACAAAGAAATGGATATGATATTCTTTTTTGCCCAAAATACGCCGAACTGCATCAACACCGACCAGGCTGTCAGTAGGAGCATCTGGCATTACTGGCTAGCTCGGCACTTTTGTTCTGATTCACTGCCTAGTCCGCCCTATCAACTACATCGGCTGTACTATCCCTTCAGGGGTGTCCAGGTTCCTTCGCGAGGTTAGCGATTTGCATTCCCCGGTTGTTAACAAATCAAGTTACGTCCCAATCAACAGCTTTTATTCCAGTTAAATTTATTATCATTTTTTTCTAAAATTTATCACTTTTTTGTTGTTTTCTTTTTTCTCATCATATTGATCAGAACATATATGCATATTGTATCTCAAAGTTCACGCCTGCATCCCCATGGGTCTGCGTGTGTACGTGTGTCCATGCCTTCCGGGCTACATTAGGTAGCTAAGCCCAATAAACTTATTTAATTCTCATTCCTTCGAGCCATGCGCTGCACTTTAAAGCAGACATTTGAACATTCCTATCGGACACAACTGAATCTAGAAATCCGCACCTGAAATCAGGAAGCGAACTCGAAATTTCGCGAGTTAAATTCGTGTCTGAGCGAAAGGTAAATCACGGAAACACAGGGCTAATGCCACCTTTCACTACATCCTAAGAACTTTTTTGGCTATGCATGTGTTTGCTTGGGTCTGCAATAAAAATATGCTCCAGTCTGAACGAACCGAAGACAGCAAAAAAGAGATTCAACGTACACTACTAG